AATCAAGTTTAGTGACTAAAAGCATGGAATCTGGAGCCAGGCTGCCTGAGTCTGATCTTGGCTTTGACACTTATTGGCTGTATGATCTTGAGCAAATTACTTCTATAAATTGGAGATTATAATAGCACCCTCACAAGGTTGTCATGAAATTTATATACATATATGTACATGTATATATATATATATATATATGTGATTACTGTTTTTTATTTATATATATATATTATATATATATATTATATATATTTATATATATATATTATATTATATTATATTATATTATATTATATATATTATATTATATTATTATTATATATATATTATTATATTATATTATATATTATATATTATATATTATATATTATATATAATATAATATATATTATTATTAATATAATATATAATATATTATTATTATAATATATATTATATTATATTATATTTTATATATATTATATTATATTATATTTTATATATATATTATATATATATATTATATATATATATATATATATAATGCGATTACCATACATAATAAGCAATATATGAGTCCTAAGTTGCTATATTTTTGTTCTTTTTATCATTACTATTGATTGGGTTTCTTTCCCTGTGAAATACATTTTTCTACCTTTTTGCCCATTGTTTTATTGGCTTGTCTTTTAAAAGATTGCTTTACTAGACTCTTCATGTATTTTTCACACTAATCCTTCTATTATTTTTTCTTTGGTTATAAATATTTTTTGTGGGTTGTCTTTTTATCTTATAGTGTCTCACCATTGCTCTTAATGTATTAAAACAAATATATATAGTTATAAACTGTAAATGAAATAATATATTGTAGTGTTGGATATAAATATGAAATATGATAGACCTTCTCTCTTCTGCTAGTAGCTGATGTACATAAACCAGCAGAGCAGCTGTTTCTAAATCCCTCTTCAAAACTAGAATCCAATCTTGCTTGTTTTCGCTCTCTCTTTTTTAAAATGAATATAAAGGGCATGTAATTAAGAGATACACAAGTCTGAACAGCAGAAACAAAATCACCTGGGCACCATCAGGTGGCCTTTGGGGCCCCATTTGACCTGTGGAGGCTTGTTTAGTTTTTGTTTTTTGGTCAGCATAGTGTTGGCCCACAGTGTTTCAAAAATTTTTAAGTAGTATTCAAGCTATTCCACATGAAAAGTGTCCTGCATTTTGGTTATACCTAGAAAAACAAGGACATCTGGCTATGCTGGCCTGTGTCCCTATGGGATAGCGATGGCGTGGAACTGAGTGGCCGCTGACCCCTTTCCAGGGAGGATGACTCTCTAGTTTGTCGCAGTTCTCTCTGCCCTCCCTGGCCTCCTGGACACTGGCCTGAGTGGCAGTTGTCATTTGCCATTGAGTCCCGCTCCGGTTGCCCTCCCTCATGGCCCACTTCACTCATTTAGTTCACTATCTGCACCCTGCATCATTGGCCTTCACGTGTCAGCTGACTGGAGGTGAGAGAAGGAACAGCTGCCTCACCCACTCCCAGGAAGACAGAGAGTCCCAGGGAGAGTTTGTAACTGGTATTTTTTCAGTGAGGGTACCTGCCGAATGATGATTCTTTGCTTTCAAATTGGTAGTTGAACCTTTTTGTTGGCATGCTCTGGTCTGTCCTGTCCCAGTGCAAAGTTGGCAGATGTGGGTAACCAAGTAGAGGACACTGCAGAGCACCTCGTAACCCTGGGGTGTGGTGAGTGACAGGAGCCTGACTTATAAGCTCCTACAGGTCTAAGTGAGTGTTTCTAAATGGATTCTTTTTTAAAGAATTTTTTTAAAAAACTCTTGTTGTTTATCTATCTTATATATGGTAGTGTACATCTGTAATCCCATACTCCCAATTTATTCCACTCTGCCTTGCCCTTTGGTAAACATAAGTTTGTTTTCTATGTAAACTGATTCTTCCTTGGACATTAAAAACCCTAGTTGTCTTTCTAAATATATATTTTAAAGCCTTATAGGAATTATCTTTGCACTTCTGGCCTATTTCAATGAGCCAACAGACACACATTTCACTCTTTGCGGCCTCTCCTATACATTTTATCCTTTCCAAAAGGTCAAAAAATATTTCTGACTGATGAATCTCCATGGATAGATTAATATTCCATCACATTGCAATATGACTAGCCCATCCCTTTCCTACTCTGACTTTCTTACACTGCAGTTTTTCCTTCCAGACCCCCATCCTCAAACTAGACATGATCTTGGTGATTCTGGGATAAATGACTATTCGTTTTTATACTCTGGGCCTAAGCAGCTCCTAGACCTGACATGAAAACAGCTTAAGGGTGAGCAGGTTCCTCCCCTTTCCCACCCTCTCCTCACCTGATCATGGTTCTGAAATAGCTCAGATGCCTAGCTTACACCTTGAGAATTCTATTTTTCTCCTTTTCTTAGCCTCTCCTTCCAAGTTTGTACTAGGGCCTGCCTCTAACCTGACAGCCAGAAGGAGGAAAATGTAAGGAGTGCCTGTGTGGGAAATTTATTATTAGTTTGTCCTGGAAGTGGTGCCCATCACTTCCTTCCTCATCCCATTGGTCAAAACTCAACCACATGGCCAACCTGAGCTGCAAGGGAGACCAGGGAATGTAGTTAGGTTGTGTGACCAGAAGAGAACTTCCATTGTGATGGATATTTAGCTGTCTCTGCTACAACGGAGTTATGTCCAGGTGATGTCATCCTGAAGAGACCTTTTAGGATAATCCATAGGCATCACCCTAAGAACAAGCAGGAAGGATGCTTAAGGCTCATAAGAGTCAACTAAGTCTTCAAAAGCAGTCTGTTATTGGTAGCTCATCCTCAGTTGCTCTACAGAGAATAGAAGAAGGGGTCCTGTATTTATATTGGGGTCAGCATGATAAAGTGGGAGAGGATCACCCCCCTCAGTTGGTGGCAGAGTCACAGTGGTGACAAAGAGGGAGGAACCCCCAGGAAAAGGTGACTCAGTGCCAGAGTCCGGCGTTCTTTGTCTTGTTGGAGTTCCCCTCCAGGAGATGTTCCTCCTTTCTGCCCTTCAAGAAGGTTCTATTTTCTTTTCATTAAATATGACCATAATTACCTACTGGGGTCCCAATCCAGCTCAGCCAATATATAGAAATTATTGTACTGATAGTAGAAAAATACCAGTTAGCCTGGTAACTTGGAACTTCTTGTTCTCATAGCTAATCACCTGGGAGTAATCCACATTCTGCACAGAACCCCACTTGTGTACCCCCCGACAGTCCTGTGGCCCTGTCATTGTGATTTGATCTGTGGTGTGAGTGGGGCAGTGATCACTGGCACAAGGGCTGAGGTTGGGGGCTGGCTACGCACCCAGCTAGGTGCTTGGCTTTGGAACACAATGCGGGGCCGCCCGTCTACTTGGGCTGAAGCCCCTTACATGCTGATCATGGTGTTTCTTTCTCACTGCTTTTTCTCCCAGGGTCTGCTCTTAGCTAAGGGTTTTCAGAAATCTCATCCAAACTTCTGGCAACCCTCTTCTTTTCACACTTTTGACTGATGGCTTCATAAAGCCCCAGACATTGGGGCAGCTTCCAGACTCTGCAGCTTCATTAGTCTCCTTGTCTGTCCCGGGCCAGATAAGCAATCCTAGACAAATGGGAAGGCTGCTCGGCTCGGCGGTGGGAGCCTCCCTTTCTCAGGGTTCTGTCTGTCGCTTAACTTAGCTCTACCTTTCCCAGCTCAGGCTTCCAACCTTGTTCAAGTGCCATGTTCTCCCTAAGTAATTATTTGATGTGATGTTGGCATCTCTGTTTAATTTCCAGTTCCTTGTTTTGGTTTCCACCCCCACTGGATACCATGTGCTTTTACTACACCATTTGTGTTTCTGTTGATGCCCAGGCCCTAAGTGCTTGATAAATGAGATCTTAGCATTAGGCCTAAAGTATTCAGGGGAAGCAGAGGGGTGATGGGAGGAAGGAGGCAGGAGGGGAGCAGGCTGCAAGGGTCTGGTGCAATGGAAGTCAGGCCTCGCTGAGGTGTTTGGTTGTGAATATGCAGTAAGAGGATCAAAATCTCACAGATTACCTGGGGAGAGGTCAAAGGCATAGAAATTCATCAACGGTGGGCAGAATGGAGCTGTCATTAAAGTGAGCGCTAGGAAGCAATTCCAGCATCCTATGCTGGATGTACGTGAGAGGAGAAACTAGGCTGAGGGTTTGGATTTTTAAGGGGAAAACAAAGAACTTATTAAAACTGAGGACATGTCTAGGCCCAGCTTTCACAATCTCTCAGAGCTAAAAAGAGATGCCAGAAATACAGACCAGAACTGGCAGCCCCTCTTACCTCCCCTGGAAGGTGCAAATCAAATGCAAAGGAGTGTGTGTGTGTGTGTGTGTGTGTGTATGTATCTCTCTGTGTGTGTGTGTGTGTGTGTGTGTGTGTGTGTGTGTGTGTGGAGGGAGAGGGTCCATTTCTGCTTTCAGAATTCCAGAGGGGTCCACGACCCATCAATGATTAAGAGTTACTGGATTAGCAGCTCTGTGAATCCTGAGAGTAGTCAGAACCAGGAAGGCAGGAAGATGACCTGAAGACCCACCCCTGAAGGGTGAGGGGCTGAACGTGGCCCCAGTGTGGGGTGAGTGAGGTGTTGTAGGGGAGTGGTGTTCCACAGCCCTACAGTGAAGTCTGAGTGTCCAGCTTTAAACGTTCAGATGGGAAAGTTAGGGCCCCATCCTGTGAAATCTGAGGGGGCATTTGTCTCCATGTCAGAGGACATGAAGCAGAAAAAAATTGAAATCATAGGTTCACATTCCGCAAACCTAGTAGTATATTTGTCAGGCGAAGAAATGCAGTCTTGCCATAGCATTTTGTTTTGATTGTCTGCTCCGCCATGTTCTCCCACTCACCTCTCCTTCTCTGCCTGGGACACTTCCCGTCATCACCCAATAAAAGTCCAGGCTAGTATCCAGAGGCACAATAAAGAAAGATATTTCTGCTTTTACGAAGGCACTAACACCTCTTTGTGTTCCTGCTAGCAAAACTGCTGAGTTCTTGAGAAGACTGGACACCGAGTTGCCAAGCAGAAGTACCTGTCAAGTTGCTCCTTGCGTAAGTGGTGTGTCATGCCGGGTGCCATCTGGCAATTTCTAAAGAGGTGTTTAGTTGGAGAGGGAGGGTATAGTTCAGTGGTAGAGTGCATGCCTGGCATGCACAAGGTCCTGGGTTCAATCCCCAGTACCGCATCATAAATAAATAAATAAAACCCTAATTACCTACCGCCCCCAAATAAATAAAAATAAAAATGTGGAATTGTTTAACAACGCTCAAAAAAAGAAAAAAAAAACTACAAAGAGGTGTTTAGTGAATGAAATTAAGGCCATAGAGTGACCTACTCTAAGGCCATAGAGTGACCTACTCTATGGCCTTAGAGCATAGAATTTTGGAATTAAAGGCAGGTGACTGGAGCTGAAACTTTGACCTTAACTATTGTCTCAGCTATAAAATGATGCTTCTACTTGGAGCCTACATTACAGACACTGGGACTAAACGTCAGCCTCTGAAAAGTCTTTAATATCAGCCAGTCATCCATTCATCTATCCATCCTCCAGCTTTTTATGTTATACAAATGCATACAATTTCTGCCTGGAAGGACCTTAGTCAAGGAAGGGAGAGAACTAGCTATAAAGCAAAGGGGTGAGTGTGGTGCATCTAGCATTAGAAAGCTGAGCTTAAAAGATGAGTCAGAAGAGATCATTCCAGGCGTCAGGAATTAATTATCCCATGGAAGCAAGAATTAAGATATCATGGCAAGACAAAGCCTGGCTGTGTTAGGGATGAGTTTTGTGGAGCTGCAGTCTAGAAGGGCGAGCTAGAAGGTGGGAGCCATGGGGGACAGTTTGGGCGGGATGGTTTCTTGTGTGGACGGTCTTGGGTACCACAGGATGTGTGGCATTCCTGACTCCTGGGCACAGAATGCTAGTAGCATCCTCCACACATTGAGACGTCCAGACATCCAGAGATGCCCCATCCAGGAGGCTAGTGGCACTCCTGGTAGAACACCGCTGTGGACATTCACTTGCCACAGTGGAGAACTTGAACCTCGTTCCGTGGGGTACAGAAGGTACTGAAAAGTTTTAAACAGGGAAGTTTCCTGATCAGATATGCCATTTAGCTGATCACACTGGTAACCACGTGAAGCATGGAACTAAAGGAACACAGAAGCCTCTAAGAGGCTTCTGTATGATTCTCGAGGAGGAGTGATGGAGACTTGAAGTAGGGCAGTGGGTGAGAGGATGGAGATGAGTGTTCAGTGTTGGTTATTGTCTGGCTAATTGGGGGCAGAAAGTAAGTGTCATTAAGGATGACTCCGGGAAAGGGTTGTAGATGAAAGAAAAGATCGGTTTAAGTTTTAAAATGTCTTAGCTTCTCCGGGTTTAGGCAGGTAAATGCTAAGTTGTTCGAGAAGCTGGATCTGCAGCCCTTTTCTCTTTGGTGACCACATTTTAAAATGTCAGGAGGACGTTATGACTCTCCTTAGGAAATGGTCATTCCAGTCTTATCTACAAACCTCTAAGTGCTCCTTTTTTCTCCCCCTGCTTCTAATGTGGTGTTCCAAGGTCCAGATGTAGTACTGTGGGCCCCACAAGTCATATCAAATCCATCATCCCTCTCCCCACAACCCAGGTCGCTGGGGGAAGGAGTCGAGAAGCTGTAGGTGGTAGAATTAAATCAGACAGATGCCTTTAAGTGTTGACTTTTTTAAAGCACATGAGGCACATGGATAAAAATGAAAGCCAACTGCCCCAAGTGTTCAGAGCGGTGGGAGTGAGAGGATATGGCCAGAAAGGGAAGGGCTAGAGAGCGGTGCTTCCAAACATTGATGGGCACACGGATCACCCGTGGACCGTGCCCTGGCTCAGGCAGGAGAGCTGCTCCTTGACGTCTGTCTGGGGAGCTTTTGCAGGTGGGGGGAGTCGGATGGCTTTACCACTTGGGTGTTTGGCTGGCAGGATGGTCTTGATTTCTGTTTGAGGGCTTCTCAAATCCTGTGGTTGAAACACCTGGTGGAACTAGGTATACCCGCTCTATTGATTTTGGCTCATTTCTTCAATTTAACAAGATCATCCTGCATTTTAATCTTGTCATCCAAGGCATTAGTAATAACTCCCAGAGCTGCGTTTTCTATGGATTGATTAGTGCATGAGTCATAAGATCCTCAGAGCTATTAATAGAAAATACAGAGCGAGATTGGACCCAGGATGGCTCCTTACGAACCACATTCAATAGCTGCTCCCATTTTGACACCAAGCAATTAATAATTGGTGGGTGTTCAATATACTTAAGTGACTTTTTACCCATATTGTATTCTTCCCATGCTGTCTAATCCATATGCGTGGAATTCCTCAGAGACTGCACTGCAGAATCATTTTTAATGCTTCCGGAAAATCAAATATGTACGTTACACTTCTGGGAGGTTAAAAGAAGACACCTACAGTTTGTCTTAAGTATGGTCAGTGCATAGAAAGTGAACACTGCGTGATCCCCGTACATGTGGGCTGTGAGGAGCTGCAAGGCTTCAGGTTTTTAAAAGAACAATTTAAATTTTACTACCTAATGCAAGTTTCCTGGGAAAATGGTTCTTCTTAGACTTTATTTAAGGGTGGATCTGCCGTGGCAGATGCGAATTTAATAAATGCTATATAATGATGTTGATGAAAATTGATGAGCAGAAAATTCCTGGAGGTGTCACAAAAGACAGCCTGAGACAAAGAACCTCAGGCGAAGGGAACTTACAGTGTCCACTTACGCAGGGTGGGTATAGTTCTCTGTACTGGGTGTGGATGTGGAAGCAGGTACACCAGCATCATTACACACTCCGCAGTCTTCATCCTTGGATATTTTCAGCTGTACAATAATGTGCAACCCATCTCTGGTTGGCTGCCCGCCCTGGCTCTTCTATAGAGAATACTAATTAAAAAAAACCATCTGGTGTTCCCCTGTCCAGTGGTTCCCTATATCTTCAAGGATTAAGTCAAATGTCTTAGCTTTAGCACAAAGCCCTCTTTGCTCTGCCAGCCTCTGCACCTTCTCCTCCTCACCCCTCCAGCTCACCTCCCTGCTGTCCTGGTGCCTCGGTCTCTGCCACTCCAAGTGTGGTCCATGGACCAGGAGTATGGACATCACCTGGGCACTTATAGAAATGTAGACAAATCTCAAGGCCCACTCCAGACCTGAATCAGAACACAGTCCACAGGTGATTTGTGTTCAACATCCAAAGGCGTCCATCCCTTGCACCCCTTCAACCCGATGTCTGCTTCAATTCTTTAAACTCCTTGTGTGTTTTTCCATTGCTGGCATAAAGAAGTTTTGCAAATTTAGTAGCTTAGAGCAACGTAGATTGATTCTCTCATAATTCTGGAGGTCAGAAGCCAGACATGGGTGTGAAGGGACTAAAATCAGGGTTAGCTGGGCTGGTTCCTTCTGAAGGCTCAAGGGGGAATCGATTCCTTGTCTCTCCTGGCTTCTCTTGGCTCCTTGGCACGGGGATCACTCTAGCCTTGACTTTCATCCTCATGTCACCTCCTCTCTGCTCTTTGACCTTCTTGCCTTCCTCTTATAAGGACCATTGTGATTATATTGGTCCCACTGGATCACTGGGGAGATCTCCCCATCTCCAGATCCTCAATTTCTGCAGAGTCCTTTTCACCTTGTAACAGTCACAGCTCCCAGGGATTAGGACCCGGACGTCTTTGGGGGATGTCATAATTCACCCCACCTCACTCCCTTTGCTATGCATTTCATTTGGCTCTGCAGACCTGTCACTGTATATAATGCTCTCTCTCAGTGAATCAGTTTTAGATCTTATTCATTTCTTCCCCCCATTCTCCTAATAGAATTAATTCAGGATTTCAGGCTTTCCTTTATTATGACCCTGCAAGTATTTTCTCACCACCAAGCCAGTTACACTGTACATTTTCTTTCTCCTACAACTTGGAAACAATTTCATTTTATTTGTGCATTTTCTTGGTTTCCTGTGAACATGTGACTGCCTTCCTTTAGCTTCTGTGACTGTTCTCTCAATTCCTCTTGATGAAAATTTCCACACATTTTTTTTTTCCCACTTTGTTCCTTTCAGATAACTTGTCAATTCCGGGTTTCTTTCCCTTCTGGCAACGTCCCACCCCCTCGTTATGGGAAAATTATTATTCAAATCTCAGGCTTCCTTGGTTTATCCCTCCTCCCTCCTGACCTAGCCTGGGCTGGTTGGGCTTTAGGCACAACGTGCACAGCTGTTCTGGGACTGTCCTTTCCCCGAATAGCCCTCAACCTCACCCGAGCACTGCAGGCACCTGGGGTGGGGGGTGGGGGGGGGGCTTTACAATTCCCCAGGGCCTGGCTTGCACACCTGGAGATCTTGCTATACTGTGGCTCGGGCTTTAGGCTTTTAAAGCTCCCTGAGTAATTCTAGCGTGCAGCCAAGGAGGAGACTCACTGCTTTAATGTCATCTGGGGAGTTGCTTTTATTGCTTTCCTGTGTTTGGTTCTCTGATTTCTGGGTCTTGTTTCTTCTCTCTCTGTCTCTCTCTCTTTTTCTTTTCTTTCTTTCTTTTTTTTTTTTTTTGCTTTATTTCTTTGTTTTGGTAGAGTGGATTATTTAGTAGCTTCCCAAGAGAAGATGTATGTTCAGGTCCTTGCATGTCTGGAACTCTTTATTCAGCCCTCACACTTAGCTTGCAATTTTCTGGTAAGTATTCCAAATTGCAAATCACTTCCCTTCAGCATTTTGACGGTATTGCTCTCCTAACTTTGAGTTATTTGTTCCTGAGAAATCCAAAGCCATCTGAATTTCAGGTCTTATATGGGGGGCTTTTCCCTGCTTCCCTGAAACTATTTTAGTATCTCCTCTTTTTTTTTCTTTCTGGTATTCTGTAATTTCATAATGAGATGCCTTAGTGTAAGGCTTATTTTTATTCATTTCTAGTCTGGAAATTTACCTCTAGTTTTAGATGATTTTCTTGTGTTATTTCTTTGATTTATTTCCTTTCATTTTCTCTTTATGGGACACTTTTTTTTCTCTTTTTAATGGAAGTAC